TTAGCTTGTTCTATTTGGCCAAAAAGATTAAAGAGTAGCATGTAGACGTAAAAATGTAAATGCTCCTACCAAAAATACAACGCCCACTAACAGAACTGACAAAGCCTCCCCTTTCAACCCACTCGTCGAGTTTTACTTATGCAAAACCTCAAAGATAAAGGGCACTATACTGAATTCAACGAGTTAAGAAAGTTGTGGTAACATCCTACGAGTAACAATCTGTGCTTGCTCATGTAACAAGTCAATATAACAAGAAAATCCATAATCAAAGTACAAAAAATCAAAGTACCCCTTGCTTCTACTAGGTCTGTATCATATATAATTATATAACCAATATATTAAAATGAAATCAAGAATAACATTTTAAATTCAATCATTTAAAACTACCGGTTTTAAATTACCAGTTATCCCAACAAATTGCAGCATATCAAGAATCTAATTAAAAGTCTACAACAAACGAATTAACTGCTCAAGAACATGTCAAGTACATCATAATTTGATAAATATGCGGGTAAAAATCTGAACATCGTCAACTCCATTTGGATCTCCCTAACTGTTAGTTGCGGTGTAATGAATTGACAAACCAAAATCCATACAGGTTCCTGCAGCGTTTACAAGTCTTGTCAGGAACAATGAATTTCACACAACAGTTCCGTTCGAAGATAAGCTATGGACATTGCTGTCCTTCAAAAAAAAGAGGCATCTTTACGCCAAGTTCCCTAAGTTGGTTCACAATATCATAAAGAAATTCAAATGTAAGCTTAGATTGTGCATTGAGATCGTCTCTTATATTTGGATGGATTCTAAACCACTCTCCCAACAACTTGTGCACGTGAGAACGGATCATTCTCCATGGCACTGGATATTTCTCACAGAATTTCAAATATTCCACCAGTAAGTCAGCCTGGTCCAGTTTCCTCTCTTTGTTAATTTCTTCACTGCCCGATACCCATTCTGCAGTCCGATATCCAGCAAAGAGAGCTGGATTCTCAAGAAGAGACTCAGCTGTAAGAACCCCTTCTGCACCGGTCTCTTCCAAACACTCCCTGACGTCATCCATGTGCCGTATATTTCCATTAGCAAGAACAGGAATTCTAACTGCACTTTTAACTGCCTTGATGACATTCCAATTAGCCCGGATCTTCTTTCCATCTTTCTCATCTCTTGTTCTTCCATGAACGGCTAAAAGAGAACAACCAGCATCCTCCAACATTTTAGCATAGTTGATTGTATCTTGCAGATCTGGGAAAATGCGGATTTTGCACGACACTGGAACGTTAAGATTGTCAGCCAAATTTTCTACCAGAGACTTGATAAGAGGAAGATTATCCATAAGGAAAGCTCCATAGTGTCCACGTCTCGCAATGCGCTGGGGACACCTGCAAAAGTGAATGTAGAAGAAACCAAGCTTTGTACAGTTCAGACAAAAATGCAAACGAAACAGATCAATTCACACACTAATCATTGAAGAGAATTTCAATATAGAATTATGCTAGATGTACACAATGAGTTACACAATGGATTACACTCCCCTCACATGGAGGGGGCCCATACACAATAAAATATTCGTGGCCCTCCCTCCATGTGAGGGAGGTGTGACCCATTATGTAAACCACCAGGTGTACATCTAGCATAATTCTCCAATATAATATACAGGTCAGAGATGCTTGAGAAAAGGCACTAGAGCAGCAAGGATATTTTCAACTCCTTGGAAAGGAATACTAATATCAATAGCTAATGATAGAAGAAAACAACTTGCAAGAAGC